GATGATGGTGAAGTGAAACCACGTATAGATATTAAAGCAGAGCAGGAGAAAGACCAAGGTTTGAAGCCAATAACTGATTTTCTAAAAGCAAGTGTTTTATGCCCTGCTTGGGAGAAGGTGTCAAGCTTAAGCCCTTTGACAAAGAACTATTGGGCACAATGGGACCAGTTGAAGCTTGAAGATGGTATTCTTCTCTGGAGATGGGAAACTGCAGATGGGAAAGTGACGACCTGGCAAACAGTTATACCAAGTAAGTTACGGGAATTTGTGCTGCATCAATCCCATGACTGTTTAACAGGAGAACATATCGGAGTTAAAAAAACATTGAGTCACCAACAACAAAGATTTTACTGGATAGGTATGAGGCAAGATGTGGAAGAGTGGTGCAGGACCTGCAGTACATGTTATGCTAATAGGGAACCCAAGCATAAGCAACGTGCTCCAATGAAGTTATATCAAGTTGGCACACCAATCGAAAGAGTAGCCTTTGACATTGTTGGTCATTTGCCCCAAACTCGTGCTGGAAACAGGTACATTTGTGTGGTGATGGATTATTTCATCAAGTGACCTGAGGCATATGCAATACCAAATCAGGAAGTTACAACTGTAGCCTAGGCTATTAGTGATTTCTTCTTGAGGATTGGTATGCCATACGAACTGCATTCAGATCAAGGCCGTAGCTTTGAATCAGCTGTGTTCCATGAATGTTGGAACTTGTTTGGCATACGAAAGACCAGGGAAACGCCACTCCACCCAAAGTCTGATGGGATGGTAGAAAAGTAGAATTGGACACTTGGACAAGCATTGGCAAAGTTTTGTAATAACCACCAAGATGATTGGGATGTCTTACTCCCTCCACTGTTGATGGCCTATAGAACAACAGAGCATGAAGCCACTGGATACATTCCAGCAAAGTTGATGTTTGGTCGGGAACTTCGGTTGCCAGTGGATCTGATAACAGGACGCCCACCTTACGAAGAGTTGCCTGAAAATGTGTCAGAGTTCGTGAAAGTGTTATCTGAAAGGATGGAAGATATTCATCATCAGGTGTTTTCAAATTTGAAAACGTCTGCTGATTCCATTAAGCTATGTTATGATAAAAGATCTACTAAAGTCAGCTTTGTACCAGGAGACAAGGTGTGGTTGTATAATCCCAGAAAGACCAAAGGGAAGTCTCCTAAATTGTCTTCTCCATGGGAAGGCCCATATGACATAGTGGATCGTCTCTCAGACGTGAGTTTCCGAATAAAATGTGGACAGTGAAATAAGCCAAGAGTGGTGCATGCCAACAGGCTTTGGCGTTATCACAGTCTAGGACATTTCAGTTGGAACGAAGTGAACCAAGGAACAAATGACGCTTCTGAAGATGTATCACTTGAAAAAGCCACTGTTGAAGAAAAAACTCTACCCGGTTTTGAGAAGGGAAACAGTGAAGCCCTTGATGAAGTTATTACCACTGATGTGACTGTTACTGATAATAGGACATTTCTTGATGGAGCAGATGAATCCCACGTGAAGCAGAATCCAACGAGACAGAGACCAGTACGAAGAAGATAAGTCCTGTAAAATTAAGAGACTTTGTTGAATTTTAATTTTGTGTTTGTAAATTCTGTACATTTAATTAAGTTATTGTTAATTATCTATTGGTTTAATGTAAGTGGCTATTGTTCGGGATGATCAATATTAAGGAAGGGGCAGTGTTACGACAGTGGAAGTAACGTGACGCTGGTAACACGTGATGAGGTTCTATAAGGATCATATAGACTCGAGTGTTTGCCAGACGCCCTCTATTTTTTATATATAAATCCGGCAAATTCGATGACGAGGAAACCACTTTGAGACTAATAGTGGTTGGAGACGGCTTGAATGGGTAATGAAGAAAAACTTTAATATAAGTTTAACATAACAGCAAATGTACAACGTTTTGACAAGGTTTTTCTTCATTACTCATTCAAGCCGTCTCCAATCATTATAAGCCCGGCAAATAAAGCGGATGGGAGAAGTGACGGCATAGATAATTGCAGACGTGGAGATATAGAGACAGATAATAGAGTCAAGTGAGCGGAAGTGAACTTAAGTAAAGTGCGTTAATCGTTGTGAATTATAGCTGTTACATCTCTGTGTTCGTTTGTTAATTTTCCGTAAAAATTCTTTCTGAAGAAACTTTAGCGATACAAGTCCTTTCTTAAATAAAACTAGTTTATTCTTTCTCAATACAACTTTGCAATACACTTAATTTCCACAGTCACGCTATAACTTTAACAAACGCTATAATTTACAACGAACGATTCACGCGCTTGACTCAATTGTCAGTCTCTATCTCTGTCTGCAATTCAATTACATTGTTGCCGTCACTTTTTGGCGATCTTATATACAAGAATACCGCACATGTAGTAAACACTCGAGCATTAACGAACCTTCGAGGATATCATGACGTGTTACTAGGGTCATGTGACTTCCGCTGTCGTAACATAGCGTTTGTTTAAGAAGTGACTGTGGAAATTAAGTGTATTGCAAAGTTGTATTGAGAAAGAATAAACTAGTTTTATTTAAGAAAGGACTTGTATCGCTAAAGTTTCTCGAAAGAATTTCTACGGGAAATTAACAAACGAACAGAGACGTAACATTAGTCTGAAAGCTGTATAATGTTGAAGAATAACTCAATCGTCATACACTGTATGTTATTTGTTTTGCTTTAGAAATTATAGTGCTTTGCCGGCAGGTGACGCCACAATTTGGAAAATTGTTTCGGTTTTGTTGAAAACAGTAAGTTAAATACTTATGTTAAAAACGATACTGTTTTTATTTTATCCGATCATTAGTTAGTGTTATTAATATTAGAGACTAACCTAGAAAAATGGATGGAACTAGTTCCGAGGTTTTAAATGATGCGCAGAAAACTGAACTCGAAGAATTAAAGGTAATTTTCCTAACTTCTGCTTCTATTCCCCAACTTCTAAGGCGCAAGTGTTTTGTTTGGGAAATTGGAATGGGTCTATGATCTATCCAAAAAATGCTAAGTACTAAATTTATTTTATATAATTTCTACTGGCTTGTTAAGTTTGATATGTGTATTTAAATGATTAATATTTTATAATTTGATATGTTAACACCTTTATTTTTTGACGCAAAGATGTAAAATTCATAAATATATAACCTATAATTTTATGTTATAAGCCTGTATTTTTTAATTTTAGCCTGTTTAGGCCTGATCTTCACATTGCTGTAGTTTGGATATAATCAGAAATCAGTTACTTAATTTTTAACGTTAGTTAAGAGTTCAATAAATAGAAATCTAAAAGTTATTGTAAATTATTAATAAGTAAAACTAATGAGGAAATACTTTTATTTGGGATTGGTTTGAGTCCTGATAGAATTAGTCACTCTTTTAATTTCCATGTGAAACCATGTTACTGACAAAGAACTTCATAAGGACATGTACACTTTAGCTCTTTAAAACATGAATATTTTCCTTTTTCAGGCTCAATTTTTTGTATATAACAATCAAACACATAAGACTTAAAATAGTTTACTTATTGAATTATAGATAGAAAAAGACCACAAATTTGTAATGACATAATTCATACAACAACTTTATGCTGATGTAATTTTGAATTAAATTTACACGAATGATTTATAAATAATGAGTAAGAAAGTGATTCCAAATATTTAAGTGGAAAGATATGAAGCTTTTATATGTAAATTAGTGAACCACTGACAAAAATATCCTTCTGTTAGGCATAAATCACTACCTATGGATAACAAGGGACCATTTAGTCCTTCAAGGCTGCCCTTACATGTCCATCCTTAGAAAATGTAAACATTCAAGCACACCCTTTACTTTTCAGGAAATCATCAGTTTCCTTCTTTAAATCCTGCAAAGTGTTAGCCACCACTACTACTGACAAGAAATCATTGCATAAGCCAACCACTCCAATAGAAACATAATATTGTCTTAATTGGAGCTTAGTCTGTCTTTTTTTTTTTTAATCTAAAATTTGTGTCCTCTCATCATATGATCTTCATAATGTGACATAAAGAAATTGAAGGCCTTTATCCTAATGATCTCCCCTAAAATCTTGTAAACTTCAATAAGATTGTCTTTTACCCTTTTTGTCAAAAGAAAATGTCTCCTTTTCGAAGGAAGGCTACTAGGATAATACTGTGAATGGAAGGATTATCTTAATGGGAAAGAGCTGATCTTATTGTAGTTTACAAGATTATTTGAGGTGTGGATAAATAAAGGTCTCTTGTTTTTTCCTTGTTCTGTACTTTGAAAGCAGTAGTATGAGAGAACATGAATATAAGATTTGAAAAAGACAGGCAGATTTAAATTACAATAGTTTTTTCTACCAGATTATAGGAGTTTTAAGAAGGAAATAGATTATTTCTTAAAATAAAGATATGATTTTTTTTTTTTTAAATTGTTGTTTATTATGTTTTGTTGATATTATTTTTCAAGGAATTACATTTTGCTGTGTAATCATCATTTAAAACAATTAATGTAGACACTAAAAACATTTAAATCAATTGCCCAAATGAAACAAAAAATATCAATATCTAGCTGTAGGATATAAAACCTTCCACAAGACAGTGAAAATAAATGTTTCCACATATAAGCTGAATTTTTATAAGGGTTAAAATAAATGAATATAATTTTATGTTGAGGTGCCTGAAAGATGAATGAAAAGGTTGTTTGTTGACATTTTTTTAAGGCCTCCTGATCATACCATTTATAACTACAAATAGAACTAGACATAATGTTTTGGCCTTTAGCATTAAGATAACTGATGGGAGAGGTAATATCTAATGTGAGTAAGGCTGAAATTCTGTGGGTAATGAGGAGAAGTTGTATCTTGATTATAGGAAGGACACTGACATGCTGGAAAATAAAACAAACAAGTGTGCTGAGATAAGAAACTACCTGTAGGATAATTCTTGAAGACTGAAATTTTGCTGTGTATTTTTTAATTTGTTAAAAAATCTAGGAAAGACCTGGAACATTGAAGTGCTAACACTTTGAGATTTATGTTAAAATTTATTGTCAAATATCATTTAGAGAAATACACTGGAGGTTGTTGGTTTACAAAAACAAACAAACATGTTTTTTATAAATTTATTTTTAATGACCCATCAATGTCTTTAATAGGGTTATTGAATTTCTTTTGTATGAAGGTAGCCAAATATGTATTATGGAAAATGATGTTTAGGGTCTGTTTCGAGACCTTTGTTGTTCATTATTATCTCAAGAGCTTCTAAGTTGCTTGCATGTAATCCTTTGTTTGTGAGTGAACAAGAATGTAGTGTTATTGTTTTTTGGCTAGCTATAGGAATTTAGAAACAGATTTGGTCATTGCATGAGAAGAATACTGGTGTTATGAAGAAAGGAAAGGATGATTATTAATATAAGGCTGAAACTTTTGGCTATGGTGAAAAGAGCTAATGTACATGCCACAGAGTTGTGGAATCTACTTAAAGAAACTATGATTTTAAGATTAAAATCTATTTGTATCTTATTTCAAAATTTAAGGAGCCCATTGTTACTTTACTATGTGTTGATTTTGTATCCTCATTCTAGGAAGGATACTGACATGCTGCAAAAAACAAGAATGAAGTAATCCACTACTATACATAGAATAATTCATTAAAAAAAATCAGGTTCCAAAAGAGGGTTAACTAATTTGATTTGTTTTTTATGGAATGTTAAAATGCCCAGGTGACATGATTCAAGTGTTTAAACTTGCTTTGGGTTTAGAAAAAGTGACTATTGGAGGTCTGAATGGTGGCTGAAAATTTAAACATGAAAATTGAATAAATACAAACTTTGGATCCCCATTTGTATGTAAGGATTACTTATCTGTAAATTATTGATTTGTGGAGGAATAAAAAGGATTGGCTACTTATACAAAATTGTTTGTATGAATATTATATAAAAGTTAGAATGAAAATGTAGAATGAGAAGTACTTTTTTAAAGTGTTTTTGGATAAATATATAAAGAATAAATATAATTTGAGGTATTGAGTGATCTTGAAATGGCTCTCTCACCTTGTGTTTGGTTTAATTAGTAAATGTTTTTTTCAAAATTACTGTTTTATAGGTGGTAGCTTAAGAAACTATTAAATTATTTATTGTAATGTAAAATACAACCCTTTGTAAATAACTTACCATACGATTGATATTTTCTTGCAATGAATAGTCAAATTTTTTTATAGTGGAACAGTACAAAAAAAAATTTAGTGAACTAAATCTCTTTAAAGTTTAAGTTTTTAAGAAACAAATGCAAAATACTTATTACTTTATCATGTACATAAGGACAAACCTGTTCTCTACTGGTCTGTGGCATTATGAAGTATGTGTGCTTATGGAGAACTGTAGATAAGTTATATAAAAATATCTATAGATTCAAAAGAAGATTGAAAATGAGAAATACCTGCGAGACCACCCAGAAGTACGATTAATCATCTCAAGGTTTCTCAAGTGAGTAAGGGAATAGTATTAGATTGAACATTCTTGAATGAGTTAAAACAAAATCTTCAAGTTTTTTGGGGATTACTTGTAGCCATGATATGATAAAATGCTTTAGAAGATATTTGTAAAATTGGTACACAACTTAAATTTTGAGGTTGTTCTTGGTGATTCTGTAAAACAAATGTGAGTAATAAACTTAGTAAACATGTTCTGGTACATTTTCACAGACTTGTTGCCAAGATACCGGTGAGCTTTTTCCTTCATTAGATCTTGTGTGGGTAGCATGTTGTTGAGTATTTACAGATGTGAGATGTATTGTCATGTATACTGTATGTGTTCTGATTGGTTTTTAAGTATGGTCTTGTTCTGATTGGTTTTTAAGTATGGTCTTATGCATGAGCTTTTGGGTGGATGAAGCAACGAGGTCCATAGTTATTGATGTCCTTGATGGCTGGGTTTTTGGTTCTTGTATGTAATGATCATAATTTTTCAGATTCTCCAGTTTTTTCTTGGTGTATCAATATGCGGTTTTCTCAATCTATGAAGTGGTTATTGGTGGTGGTGTATTCTGCTATGGTGGAGCCACTTGTCTTCATGGGTTTGACTGTGTCTTTATTTTCTATCCTAGATGTCTTGCTTGTTTCTCCAATGTGTGTGTATCCACAATTTCACAGGATTTTGTAACCAACTTACTTTTGTTAATAAGTCTATAGTGTATGACTTGTTCTGAACCAAATTTGAATCCAGAAGCTTTTTTATATGCTTCTGATTCTGTAGCTGACTTGTGGGGGATGCTGAGTGAATTTCTGTTGTATTCTTCAAGATCACCATTTTTTCTGTGGTAACTTTGGATGAGTGACTTTTTTTGTAAAAAATGTTCTTTAGTTGCTGTGTTTCCTGTGGTAGGGTGTCTTCATTGTAAATATTCTTAGGTCTGGTGTGTAGGCATCTTGTAATGCTTTCTTCTTAACCTGTTTGAGTAGTTTCATCTGTAGTTACAATATTGTTCTATACTGGTTGGTTTTCTGTAGATAGATGTGGCTAAATTTTTCTTTCATTGTCAAGAAACCATGATAAGACATAAGTTCAACCAGAATCTACCACACTTACCCCTTTAATCCTAGAAGTCAACTACAATAGCAGAAGCATATTCAAACTCAGTTCGAAACAAGTCACATGCTAAAAAAACAAAGGTTATTAAAGGGGAATTTTGCTTCTAACATAATTTTACTGTATGTAAAAGTATGATGTATGTTTAGTTATATTTGTTGATTAATGAATATAATTATGTAATAACCATAAGATTAGGTAATAGATGTGTGACTATTTAGTTTTGTGTTTTGATGGTAACACCACACATTATGTTGCACTCCAGCTTGTGACATACAAATGTTGATAGCTTAGACACCCATTCCTCCATGTATGAGTTCAGAAGCAAGGAAAAGTATTGTTGTCTACAAAATATAGAGGAAGCAAAGTCGATATTTTAGCTGAATACTGTCAGGCAGCATTACAATACAATAATCTTGCATATTTTTTACTTTCACCATTGGTCACTGGAATAAAAGTTATGTTCATTTGTAGGCCTATAGAATAGAGCAGTTGTATGCATGCATTCAGATGATTTTATGATAATAATAGTCTTAAAATACTGTTACGTATCTGCTTGTTTGATAATTTCTGGTAGAAACTATTTCCGAGGATCTTCAGCGATAGAAGTCCTTTCTTGATTAAACCAGTTTGTTCTTCCTCGATACAAACTTTTAGTACACAGTAATTCCACAGTCAATACATTTCTGGTCACTTTAAACTTAACAATTTTTATAATATACGCTACAAATCACAGTGATTCACACACTTTACTTACCGTCACTACTGTTTGCTTCTTTAATTATCTATCTATTGCTGGCTTCTCTGCCAGGCTTATATACTAACAAAGGGGGTGTCTTGAATGCACTCGGGCCTCCCCGATGATTCGTGAAATTTCATCATGTGTCAACAGTGTCACACGACTTCTTCTGTCGTAACAATACCTTATTTCTCCTTGTATCTAGTTGTCTTCCTCTATCTTGACCTGGTGGAGGGCAAATGTTCAAAAAATCGTGGCACTGCCCCTTATATAAAGTTTTGTATTCTTAAACAATCACAACAGTTTTTACCAACATTAAATATCTTAATGGTGTGTATAATTTCTTCTCATTCCTAAGTTATGTAGCCACTTATTTGATATTTCAGTTTCCTGTGGATTTTTCTTTGGATCTTTGACATTGGTTTTGGAACATAGTTAAATTGTAACTCCTTATTGTGCTTAATGCTAGAAAAAGAACCTTACACTTAGCCATTTTTCTTAGCAGGTGTTTGGCCATGAAGTAATGGGGCCTTTACATGGACAAAGTCATAAGTAGTCAGAGCAAATTTACAAACAAATATCTAGAAAATATCAAATCACAGGATCTACAGGCTCTCATGAAATTTTCAGTAACTTACCAGATTTGTTTTTAAAGCACTTTTTAAAAGTAGTAGGGAAGACACATTTCTCATATACTGGTTTTCATTAGTATTTGCTATATTTCAGCATTCTTTTCCTGGAACAACATGATGACTAGGATTTTTCATTTTTGGTGTTTATTTCTTGCAGATATACCTCCTTTAAAGATGTAATGAATGGTAATTAAGCCCTCAAAGTTCACATTCCTTATCTAACTTAGTGATGTCTATCAATAGAGAAAGGAGTTGAAATATTTTTTATTTTATTGCTTAGCCTTTTGTGTATGGTTTGGAGGTTAAAGTGCACATGCCATGACATTTTAGAAGGTGCCATTCAGCATGTTATTATGTATTTGATTCTAGAGATATGAACTATTACTTTTACCTTAGATTGCTGATTTAGTGACAGTTTATGATTGAGGAGAATAAATACCAATGAAGTATACTGATAAAAACTGTAAATATGTATTTTGAGGGTTCTAGAGGTTACACAAATGCAATACACAAATTGTACAATTGATAAAAAATATTTTTATTCTTCATATGATCATCATCATGCACTCCGCTTGTCAGAGTCAGACTGACATTGTCAATTCATAGACATTCTCAGGTATAAATACATTTGTCACACATCTGATTTGTACATTATACTAAAAGCTTGACACTTTTCATGTAGATACATTTAGTAAATTTGGAATTAGTCAACATTACTTGTCCAATAAGGGTTTACTCCTATGGACCAATTCCATGCAATTTGTTTAAACAAGATTTATTTTACTGTTTGAGTAGTGCCTATTTGATAAAATGTAAAAATTCTATCCCATACATTAAAACTGATAAAAATATATTAATAAAAAAAGGGGGGGAGGGGAAGGCTTTTTAAACATGAACTTTCTTCTGTGCATCATCAATAAAAGGCTTATTGAATTAAAGAAAAGTTTTTACAAATTTGTCCATTGTTATAGAAATCCATGTTGGTTCTATTTGAAAATTGATCAATATGTGTGTGTGAAAAGACAAGAGCAAACTAAAATAAAAAGCTCAATAAGAGAGTTAAATGCGTGATAAGAATGAAACAAACAAACGAGATATTTTTTGTCAAGTAATCAGGCATACAAGAAAACACTTTTAATAACTTTTAAAAATGTACTTTTATATTTATTACAAAATGATTCATATTATTTGGATAGTTACATTTCTGTATTAAATTTAATGACAAAATGCTTGATATATTTGAATTTAAAATATTTTGTTCATAAATTGTTTGATTAATAGGAAAAAGAAAATTAATTTTATCAAAAGGTAGGGATTGCCGGTTATTCCTAGAATTGCTATAAGAAGTATCCAATATAAAATAAATGTTGCAATAGAAAGTACACAAACAAGTAAAGTGATACTAGTTGGATAGATTTGAAAATGATTTTCAATCCCTACTTTGGTTGACATTGTAATCCATATATCTAAATGAAGCAGTAGGGATTGAAAATGGTTTTAAAAGACCATAAAGATGCAGTTACACTCGTACAATAGCTCTGCTGTAATATAATACACCATTGCCACCATTCACTTAAAAAAATAGGGAAAACTGCAAAGTGGCAGTCAAAAAAGAAAGAAGAGGGACATCAAATAAAAATCCAGAGATCAAGTAAGGACTAGACCTCAGTACACCATGGACTTTATTGGTTCATGCAGCAGATCTCACAAAGGACCACTCTCAACACATCCAACATACAAGCCAATCTATTGGACACTAGACCCAATAAAGGCTAATGGAAGATTGCTGAGAAATGTTTCCAAGATCACCAGTCTGAGAACATGATCCAACAACTGTTTACAAAATCCTTCAAAGAAAAACATTGTAGACAGCTTTCAAAAACCTATTCATGGTAAAAGTTACAATTTAAATGAGTTGTGATTTTAAATTTATCCAGCAATTATTTCACATAAGGAGAAACACCTGAAGTACGAGATCAGTAAATAAAATTTAATTTTTTTGTAACAAACTGGAGATGTAATTAATTAAAAAAGTCTTTGATGTAGTGGTGTTACAAGAAGTGTAGTTGCTATGTTCATCCCTGCTGATAAAATTAGACAGTTGCAGTGCTTAAAAAAATGTAAGATATTGTCTGTGAATGCCTTTTCTAAGCTGTAATTATACTTGTCATAAGACATTAGTACCAGTCCTAATATATTTTTTAATGTTACATTATTAATTCAGTTCTTTAGAGATTTTTCAAGAATAAGAATAATTTATAACATTATTTCAACCATGTTGTATCCACAATATGTGGTATTAAAGAATATAATAGGCCTAATACTAACATCTTATTAAATGTAAGATCAGTCAGGTAAGTGTTTCTCATGTTTGGCTAATAACCATTGATGGAAGAGTTCAATACAAAGATTTGTTGTTGTCATAAACAGATTTTTTCACTTCAAAAAAATGAGCACATATAAGTTGAGTTATGATCAAGTCTCTCATGCATTTTTTTTTTCATCGTAGAAGAATAACAGTCAGTTTTTTGTAATGATGTTGAACAAGTTACTGCATTTATTATATTAATTTTTTTAATTTT